CAACTTTGAGCATATAGATACATGAGTGGTGCAGCACCATAAGAGTACACGAACCAGTCGTTGGAAGCCAATCACACGACACAACGAATGAAAAACAAACGAAACAAGAAATAAAAGCTCTCGAGTTTAGTGGCCACTGAAGCCAAAATGATTCTAGACCCTTCTTAACTTTCAATTCTGGCAAACAAAGAAAATAAAAAAAAGACCTTAAATGAGACCATGAACACGGCCATCCTCTGCGACTTTTCTACTTTTGGCAATTGGCATATGGGTTTTTTGTTTAGGTTCGGACCAAAAGAACAACTGGGCCTAGGTAACGTGCCATTAAGCCAAGCTCGTGAATGAGTTATGAGATACATCTCACTTCTCTTATGGTGGCAAACGAAAGGTCCAAAGAAATAAATCAGACTTGGGCCAAGTTGGCATGCTTCAACTTGTGCAAGTTGGGCTGGGTACTTGAATTGTAGAGAGAAAACTACTATTGGTTCCTTTGTAACGGTCTAGCTGTAAAATTATCAACGCGGTATAGTTCAGTGGAGAGAGTTTTGATTTGCAAATAAGTTGTCTCATACTCGAACCCCCATAGTACATTGACAGTTTGTGTGTGAAAAATCCCCCTCTCCCAAATTTTTAGAACAATAATTATATTTGTTGATGCCAATAATTGGATCAACGGTTAAGATTGAATTGAGTTCCGAAAGTTACAAAGATGAGGAGTTAACCCTTTTATTTATAAGCATGAGCTTGGGCCCACGCAATTGTGGGCCCTAAAATTTAGAGTCTCCAAAACCAAGAATTATTAGAATTAGAATAAACTCATATAAAGCATGGGCAAAAGATGCTGCAACTTGGTGGGGTTGGTTGAGAGATAATGGCTTGAAAATGGACATCTTTTTGAACACTAGTCAAAGAAGGATTGGTTGAAGGCAACTAATTTATTTAGTACATACGTAGTGACAAACTTGGCACTGGCCTGCAAAAAAGAAAAACTCTATTTCTAATGCAAGACCCTAGAACCAGAGGTACATTTCAATCTGCAAGGGGCCTCTTCCCTTGAGCAAAGTGACATATATAATTCGACTAACATGGAAAGTAAGTACAATAATAAAGCAAATAGGTTAAATAACAAGTTGGAAAATGCTTCTTTATATAAAGGCACTTGTACCTGTTATAAGATGACAAGTGTCATGTCATGATTTGTTGAGTTAGTTAGATTGCCTAGACGAGAAAATTACAATGTAACAATACATAAGAATCGTGTAAGCTGGTAATTGATTACTTTAGCAAGAAACAGAAATAGAAAACAAAATCTTTTAGTATGAATAATCTTCCTTCGTTATGAATTATTATGATGTCAAATTATGAAATTGGACCACACCACGCATTTAGAAATGAGTCAAACTAATGCATCGTTCGATGTGTTATTAAAAGTTTATGTGTTTAGACAAAATAGTGATGAATTGATAGCAATGTTTTAGGCGTGATTGGACATAAAAGCAAGGACAAGAAAAGGAAAGTGTGTAAAAGCAAAAGTGAATCTTGGATCTGGACACGCAATGATCTGATAATTGTTTCTTGACAATGGAAGTGGCAAAACCAAATGTCTAAATTCTGATCGATTTAGCTTTTACCAACCAATAATTGAATGCCTTTTTCCACTAGATTGTATGCCTTTATCAAACTCTGTTTCTGACTTGTGACTCTTAGGCATGCAATGTCTTTTATATATAATCTGTCTTCTAAGACTAGCCTACTGCAAGAGAGAAGTGTTTAACATGGCTTCAAATTACAGCTTGCTTCTGCTTTTCTTGGTCTTTGCTGGTACATTTCTTGAAACCAAAGGCAAGCTCACTCCAAAATTCTACTCATCTAAATGCCCAAAAGCACTGTCCATTGTGCAAGAAGAAGTTGTAGCAGCCATAAAAAACGAAACACGCATCGGAGCTTCCTTGCTCCGCCTTCATTTCCATGATTGCTTTGTAAATGTGAGTCACCACTAATATTAATATATATATATATATATAGCTTCACTTGCATTCTGCTCATTCTGCCTCTCTTAACAAAAGGGTTTGGCTTAATTTCTTTGACAAATTTCAGGGCTGCGATGCGTCGGTGCTGTTGGACGATACATCAAGCTTTGTAGGTGAGAAAACCGCAGCTCCTAACAACAACTCCATCAGAGGATTTGAAGTTGTTGATCACATCAAAGCCAAGCTTGAGAAGGCATGCCCCGGAGTGGTGTCATGTGCTGATCTTCTAGCTCTGGCTGCACGTGACTCTGTAGTATATGTAAGAAAACCATCTTAATTTCTTACTCCAGAAACTCGAATTTCCACATAACGTGGTCATTATCTTCTTCATTGGTATTTGATTCACAGTTAGGAGGCCCTTCATGGAAAGTTCGCTTGGGAAGAAGAGATTCTACAACTGCTAGCAGAAGTGCTGCCAACACCTCCATCCCTCCACCCACTTCCAATATAAGCAGTCTCATTTCAAACTTTGCAGCACAAAATCTCTCGTTAAGAGACTTGGTCGCTCTTTCAGGTTATAAAAATTCAATCTTTCGACGTTAAATCATAGCTGAAAATGAATGCCAAATATTAAAGCAAACAGAACAAGGGTTTGCTCAGGCTCATTTGAGTTGTTTATGGCATTGGCAGGTTCACACACCATTGGCCTGGCAAGATGCACATCATTCCGGTCACGCATCTACAATGAGTCCACCATCGACGCCGCCTTTGCCAAGTCATTGCAGGGCAGTTGCCCGTTAAGCGGAAACGATGACAACCTTGCAAATCTTGACCTCCAGACCCCAACACATTTTGATAACTTGTATTACAAGAATTTGCTCAAAGTAAAGGGTCTTCTTCATTCAGACCAAGAGCTCTTCAATGGAACTTCTTCTGCAGATAAACTGGTTAAAATATATGCAAACAACACCTTTGCATTCTTCAAGCACTTTGCCAAGGCCATGATCAATATGGGAAACATCGAGCCTCTCACAGGAAGTCAGGGCGAGATCAGAACCAATTGCAGAAAAGTCAATTAAAAGTTTATATCATATAAAACATAAAAGCATTTTACTATGTAATCATTGATTAGCAAAATATGGATGATGCAGACATGCCATGTGTAAGAATATTTTATAAATATTATGTGTGGCCCACATGAAGTGTGGTAAATAAATTGTTTAATTGGTTTAATAAATATTGTTCAGAATAATTATATTGGTCAAATAAAGAGAGGTAGTTTCCTATTATTATCATGATGGGTGATAATTGATTATAGGCTTCACTAGGAACCGAGTCCTCTCTCTGCCTATAATAGTGCACATATCCATTTTATGTGTACACTGATGAAGACACGTATTAGGTTTTTCTAAACGTGCAAAAGGCTAGAGAGAGAAATCTATTTCCTCCACACTGACGGCTCGCCTACAATCGCTCAAGACAAATATCTTGATATGGTAGAAGACTAATCATTCAAGGTATGTATGTAATTTAAGCCTAATTGAATTTCCGCCTAATGCTATAGTGAAAATCATGAAGTTCAAGATCTTGGGTCATGGATTGGGTTCTTATGGTTTTACCCAATATTAAGTTTACATATGGTATCAGAGCAAGGTTGAGAACTCTCATGATTTTCCTTTACGATGATAAGGTTTGATTTATAATTTAATCGAACTATGAAAGAACAGATTGTGTTTGCGTGATTGACCATGATTTCTATAACTGTAACTGGTTATAAAATTAATAATTGTTGTCGTGGGCTGTTGCTGTGGGTTCTTCATTGTAAATTAATGTCAAATCACTTTATACAAGAATTGCATGAGTATCTAAGCAATTTGACTAGTAGTTTGCTTATGAATGAGTGTTTATGGATGAATACAATTGCACCTAAGGGTTCTATGATCTGCATATATGGCTATGTCGAAATTCTTTTATTGTGTTTCCATTAACGAATTCATACAAAAAGGTACGAATTAATTTGGATGTGTGTAATGAGTGAAAATAGAAATTGTTTTATTTTTATATTAAAGTACACATACAGAGCAATGCAGAGGATTTTTTTATTTTTTATTTTCCCTCTTGATTTCCATATAATCGTATGCATATGAACGAGACATAGATTATTGTCTATTACATAGGGAGGAGAATTTCGAGTTTGCAAAATGCATTTGCTATTATGAATTGGAGTGCTAATGGCTATGCATTTACTTGGCTATATGATTTTTTTTTTCAAATTGAAGAATGAATCCGTCAATTGGAAAAACACAAAGGAGAGAGAAATTTTGTAAAATAAGCAAAAATAGACAAAATTACCCTTATTTATTTTTGGATTTCCTAAGGAATCAAATATATTTGCATGTCTTTGATTTGAAAGTTGAGATGCTTTTCTGTCTTTTTCTAAAAAGCTTTGGCTTTTTCCAAAAGTGAAATTTTTTTTTGTGTGGCTAAAACCTAAATTTACTTTGTAGTATTTTATTATCACTGTATTTTGTCTTATGAGGGGAGGCAATTTAAAGTTCTATTGCCCACTACTGTATTAAAAAGGTCATATATTTATCAGTTAATCTAATGATCGATTAACCATTGAAGTGTATCAATTAAACTTATGTAATCAATTGACTGTTAATTTAATTTGACATTCATATTATGAATAGTTTGTTAGTCACCAAAGTGGCCAAGCTAGAACGTTCCTTGAATATCAAATTAATTAATCTAATGATCAATTAATCATTAAAGTGTATTATTAGTTAATCTTATGTTGATTAACTAATACAGTTGTTAATTTAATTTGACATTCATATTATGAATGGTTTGTTAGTCACCAAAGTGGCCAAGCTAGAATGTTCCTTGAATATCAAATTAAATGATAATTAATCAATTACTTGTGATTTAAGGATGCATATAAATGAGGTTGAACCTTATAATGTTTTCAAGGTTCGAACGTCATGAGTATATTGATTTTCATCATTCATAAGATATACGGATCACCCAATGGTGGATCCACTATTCATATGATTGGTGACATAAATGAGGTAACTTGTATATGTCTTATTTAGATTTGTTTTGGAAATCCAAAGATATCAAAGCTTTTCTAACTGGGAATATACATTTACCAATAATGTAAAATAGATGCATCATAATTGTTAATTATTGGTACTGTCATAATTTATCCTAAAAGAGAGTTATGATGATACGTCTATTGATGGTCAGACTATATAAGTCTTATATATGTTTGTACGTGTTTGTCACTCGAAGCATTAGTATTCTGAGCATATTACAAATTATGTTGCAATGTCGCTTTCAGGTTCGCTTTACTCTTATGTTTGATCTAGTTTAGATTTAATTTCTCATTTTGTTGTGAACAAGTCTAGTATCACCAAAGTGTTCTAGGTCTTGATTAGGCATTTCAGAATGAGACTCATTGCTATTATGGTCAAGCACTGAGGATTAAAGAGCCTGTAAAAGATCAAACATATTGAGCTTTATGTTTATGCAAATAAATAGACATTGCAATATAAATTAAGGTTATGCTCCATTAATGTGAATAATGCTAAAGAATTCTTGAGAATTGCTAACAAATCCATTGCATGGACAATATTGGTTGACCTTACCATCATGAAATTTGATGGTTTGCGAAGCATGAATGAGTGCATTATTCAGCATACTGATTTAGCGGCAAAACTGAAGTCCTTGAGATGAAGAAGGAAAATGAAATTCACCTATGTAGAAGGTGAAGCATTTACAGAATATGATTCGAAAAGAAAGGTAAGTCTTCCGCTTTTATGTGTTTCGAATCAATTTTTAGATGAATTTTCGTATGATGCTTGATGGATTAAATTATGTGCTAAGATTTAGAATTATATATTCAATTTAATGGCCATGATTTAGATTTATTGAAAGCATATTATGTTCTTACTGTTTCAAATCTAGTTGGAATTTTGTTTGGAATTTGGCAATAATGTTTTATCCTTTAAAGTTTGGTGATGACTGTTTTAGTCTCTTAAAGAATGCCTATTTTGTTAATTGTGGTATTCTATTAATGATTCAAGAAATTAAAGTATGATGCCATTTTTCTTTAAATGTTTTTTATACTTTGCATGATTGATTTAGAAGTGACTGCTATTTGACAAATTGAAATTTAATGTTCTTATGGCATAAATGACTAGTAATGTGTTCAGAGAAAGAACTAAGGGATCAGTAAGGAATGAGGTTCTTCTAAACCTATATTTTATTGATCTCTTATTGGTGTGTAAGTGGATTGTATTAAGGAAAACAATTTAAATACACCAAGAAAGATGCCATAAGAAATTTTTAAGTAATTGAAATTATTTATAAAACATGTGTTCACCTTATAATGCTCTGTCCTTTGGTTAGGGGTATTATGCTAATTGGGTTCCTATTAAGGCAATTTTAAATAAGAAATTATTTGAACTGCGGAAAGTAAGGAAATCCAGTTTAAGGCACCATTATGTTTTGGGTTGCTTAGTGGGAGTAGGAATGTAATGTTCACATGAGAAGGGATTAGACCTTCATAATGTTTTCTGATAACCTTATTGGTTACTTAGAAAAGTACAAAATGTATAGATTTTATTATCCTAACCAGGGTATGAGATTATTGAAATCAGTAACGTTAGTTTCATTTTAAATGGTGAAATTAGTGGGAGTGGATAACCAAGAAAATTGGTTTTGATGAGAATTTAGTGTGCAAATTTTTTTGCATGCATACTTCATAATGAAATTGTTATTCCTATAGTTGTGAACAGTTTTAACAACAATGAATAACTAATCACTCCATTATGACTGCTTCACCAATAAAAGTGTAGTAGAGACCCACAAAGAATAGCATTAAGATGATGTCAAGACATTAAGCATGTTGGTATCTGCTACTTTAAGTGATTATTTGGTATATCTACAAGAATCTGACTGTAAGTTTTAAGTAAGTTTTTGATTTTATTTTCACATGTCGTTAAACATATATTGATTCTACTAAATAGATTTATGCCATGAATGATGAGTTGAAATCAATTTGCCGGAATAAAGTTTGTGATTTCATTGATTTGCCTGCAAAGGACGAGTTGTGTGTAAGAGTGTCTTCATGACTACATACAACTCCAATGACAATTTAAATGGATATAAAGACACACTATTGGCCAACGATTTTACTAAGAAAGACGGCATATGTTATAAAGTGACATTCTCACTTGGAATCATATAGTGGTATTCGTAACTCATTATGAATTAGAGTTACATTGTATGGATGTGAAAGATAAAAGATTAGATGAGTGTTTAATAGAGAAGTCTGCATGAATGAACCTGAAGACTTTTCTTTTATTGAAAGAAACACATGATTTGTAAACTGAAGAATTCACTATATAAAATTAATAATTTTAATTTTCATTGTAATGAAAGCACTATCAAGTGTTATATGTATCTCAAGGTCAGTGGGAGTAAGTTTATATTTCTCATTTTGGATATTTATGCTATTTTGCTTGCTATATATTGGTCTTGGTTTTCATTGTTGAAACCATTAAGCTTTTCCCTAAGAACCTTGAATGAAATATATGGATGAGACAATTTTTGTGATTGGAATTGAAATATTTTCCAGAATGGATCACATGAATTGTTAAGTTTGTCTCATTAAGCATATATTGTAAGTGTTCTAAAGAGATATGGTATGGAATAATGTTTATCCATTAATGTTCTTCCAATTTAGAAAGGGGACAAGTTTAGCATTATGTAATGCCTATCAGAGTGAATTGGAACATTTACAGTACAATGAGAATTCATTATGCATATATGGTTTGCTTTGAGGCCATAGTTGATGAATTGAAGTTGCGAGTTTTAATCTTAGGACTTGGTGTTTATGTTTTATTGCCATGTCGCTAAGAATTTATGTTGATACCGCAATTGTCATTTTCTCCAAGAATGACAAGTGTTCTAAGAGTGCTAAACATATTGGCATTAAATATCTTGTCATTAAGGAGGTTCAGAAACAAAAAGTGTCTGTAAAGATAAAACTTATGCTTGCAAACCAAGTAAAAGGTTCTGGCCAAAGACATTAATAGTTATATTGAGAGGACTGTTCTTGGTCATAAATCATGACAGTATTTATGATGTTGTGGTTTGCATAATGACAGTTTATTTATTTTGACACTCTGAGCTCAAT